CAATTTCTTCCACTGAAAAATTACTGCAAGCTCATAAGGCCATTCTCGTCACCATCGTCTCGCGGACATGTTTTAGAGCCGAAATGGAACGATTTGGAGAGAGACTTTTCGGCGCCTGTCGATAATCGCTGCCAATGTGCAACGCGTTTGATTCTATATGCTCGGATTGTGGTCGTTTCAACTAATATGCAACCCAGCAAGTCTATGAGGTCTCCGTGAGCACAATGTGAAACTTCTGTAAAATTAATGGATTGCTAAGAACTTGCGTTTTATTTTATGATTCCATTTTTCTATCTGCGAAAACTGGATAATATCCAGCATGCGTAAAGTGGACAAAAAAACAACATGCAGACGAAAGGATACCCGTTGTGCATGACTATCAAAATAGTGATATTATTACCTCATGGCTGAGCGCATAACTACGAAATGGCGCGATGACGTTGTATACTGCACCAAATTTTGCAATATTTATACAGACTTCCTGGTTCTAGTAGCAAACGGGATCGTTTAAGCAGGCCACGGTTCCATGGTATTTTAGAACCTGCAGTGCATGGATGCAAAACAACATCAAGCAAGAAAAACTTGGTTACATCCTTTTCTACACGGTTATGAGTCGTGGACCATGACTGAAAAGCTTAGAACCCAGGTACAAGCTGCTAAAATGGACTTTCTGAGACGAATCGCTGGTCTTTTGCGTCTCGACATCATCCGAAACAACATCCGGAACACAGATATCCGCGAAAGCCAGAAGTCACAGCTGCGATGGTCTGGCCATGTGTTGCGAATGCCTCCAGAAAGGAACGCTAAGCAGCTGCTTCTTGCGAATCCGACCGGTGAAAAGCCCAGGGGGCGGCCAAGTGCAAATATATGGAAGGAGTCTGTTCCAGACTTTAGTTGTCTTCTGTCGAAGCTCAGACTCTGGCACAGGATCGGGAACGCTGGATGCTCTGTCTTAAGCGTCTGTCTCCGCGACCCGAAAAGAGAAGCGGTCATGGAAGATGAAGATAACATCGTCATACACTCCTTTTTTAATCCTCGTTGCCTTCTTTTTATTCTTGTTCGACTTCTCGCCTTCCTTTTCATTATCTTGCCCTCCCCCTTCAATTAATTTTCTCAGTTATCTACTTTCTACGTCAAGCCTTGAAAGACGAGACATGTTCTCTCTTGAAACTAAATGCACCGCAAGAAGCAAGATCGAAATTCAGCAAACCCTGGCAAGTAGTGACAGCACCGTCTCCAAATCTTCGGTGTATCTTGGTTCTGAGCTGAAGGCTTTGTTCACCATGTTTACGACGGAATCTGGATTGTCTTTGCCGTAAATAGCACATATATCAAGTAACATTGGCAGGTCAAAAAGCCCGCTGGAGTGCATGAAATCACCAAAGAAGCTTTCGAATGCGATGTATGGCTAAAATAACGCGGTGAAAAAAGCACTGCAAAAAAATCCGTATTGTCTAACCTGCGCCTCAGCGGAGTCGCTTAAGCGAACAAGCAGTCGAAAGATATGTTCATGGAGGCTGTTCTGCAACAGAGACACGCGCTCGATTGCACTGAAGAAAGTTCGTCGCATAGATTCCGGTTGACAGTACCTTTAAGAAACAAGATCTATGATCATCGATTAGACAATAAGCCAGTGACAGGCCGCACCTGGGGCATTCCACCAAATAGGAATTGACAAAGGAAACGATGGAACAGTCATCGATCGAAACAATCTTCCAGAACGATTCCGAACTACGATTCAGCAAATCAGTGCAAAAATCGATCATCTCCCCAACGTTTTCTTCCCATCTGACAACGCTACTGTCGTCGACGGAGTCCAATACGAAATATGTAGGCGTCAAGTGCGCCTTATGAAAAAGTAGCGACTCAACATTTATCCTGTCATGAACGTCATTCGAACCCATTTCTGTTTAAGTACCTGAAAATGAATAAAAAATACTTGAGGTGTGGCTACCAACGTTTAAAATATAACTTGGCAATCGGTTCAAGTTTAAAGCACTAATGAATTAGGAGGTAAAGAAATTATGGAACTTGCAGCTTATTCGAGAAAGTTTCGTCAATAAATGGCAATCAGCGACAATTGTTATAGTAGACTTCTTGCTACAACTGCATACTCTTTATGCTTTAAAAGATATTATTTCAATAAATGTAATCAGTGAAAGTATACCGCTACAGGGAAGTGTGCATTGTTTACATAGTTCTTATGAATAACTCATATAGGTGAATCTGTATAATATTTTGGCTGAGAAAAGAGTATCTCTTTCTACAAAAATTCCCATGTACCTTGCCTCTGTTAGGTCAGCGTTGCTGTACGGCATGGATTCAGATGTTCTAATGGGGAAGTGAAACAATGGCTTAACTGCGAACTTCGACGCATAACGAGAATTAAATAGCAGAAACACGTAAGGCAAGATATGCCCTTCCGGGTACAGGTGACCTCGGAATATATGGAGGTTAAAGAATTAAGTTGGTCCTGCTAGAAAAACTGGTTCAACATACACCATTTATTCCTGCTTGTGAGCTTTTCGTGGACCGAAGCACGGCAGACGTCGACCGGGAGGCTAGTAAACCACAAGGAGAAACAAGGTAAAAACGAATGTACTTTGGAAGAAAATTATCCTTCTACGACGCACTGACCGGTGTCTGACAGCAGAAGTATTGAAAAGTTGCGAATTCAGCGGATACTGTATAAGAATCATTCGTGCAAGCACATGATTTGCACATGCCGTCAGGGGGACTTACTCAGCAAAACTATATGGAAAATGGCGAAGAAGCAGACCGCGACAACATGGTCTAATTATGTAGAGAACAAGACATCTTGGATTCAACCGATGGACCTG